GAGATCCAGGATAGGCACCAAAACTACACAAAGAAACCCTGTCTCGAAGAAAAAAAAAAAAGAAAGAAAAATCTCAATAAATCAGAATAAGGAAGCTTTATGGCACTTGGAGAAGCAATAGTTCTGTTTTTCTGTTCTGAACACTGAGAATCAATTTTCTGCAAAAAAAGATATGAAAACATGTATGTATTACTCATGATTTAAGAAGTACTGCTTCGCTGGGCAGTGGTGGCGCACACCTTTAATCCCAGCACTCAGGAGGCAGAAACAGGCAGATCACTGTGAGTTCAAGGCCAGCCTGGGCTACAGAGTGAGTTCCAGGAAAGGCACAAAGCTACACTGAGAAACTCTGTCTCCAAAAAAAAAAAAAAAAAAAGAGAGAGAGAAAGAAAGAAAGAAAAAGAAGTACTGCTTCTAGAAATCATGTTTAGAAATAAACTTGGGCTTACACTAGAACTCAATGTCTGCACAAGCTTCAGCTATGACAGAATTCAAATATATATCAAATTCAGTATATTCAATTGCAGAGGTAATGGAAGAAAGCACACAGTAAAACAACAAGATAACAATGAATCAGAGACATCTCAGATATGCACACAATTCTCATCTCCAAGTTCCTTACAACAAACTTATCTAATGAAAAAATATCCCTCCCCTCTCTCTCTCCTCTCCTTTTCTCTTCTCTCCCCCCCCCTCCTCGCCAGGGTCTCTCTACATAGCTCTGACTGCCCTAATACTTGACCAATCTAAAAATCACAGAGGTAAAAGGAATAAAGGAACCTATCTCCATATTAACAAAAGTCTAGTCTTCCCAAGAGATTTAAACTTATGACATGTGCCTTATATCCCAGTACTCAGGAAGCAAAGGCTGGTGGATTGCTGTGAGATTGAGGCCAGCCAGGTCTATATATTAGGTTCAAAGACAGCCAGGGATACATAGTGAATCTTAGAGAAAAACAAACAAACAAAAAGGACAAACTTGTTGCACATAAACACCTCAACACTCTTGGAAGGAAGATAAAGAGTCAAGTTTCTGGAAGAAAAATGAGCACAAAGAGATTAAGTGTCTTGTCCAGTCATCGGTGAAGATAAAACCAGAATTCAATTATTTAGCCTGCAAAGTCTAAATAACCTACCTTTCTTTAAAGTACCTACAAATTATTACAAGCTGTAGAATTTCACCCAATAATATGTTTCATCAAATACTATTTCAGAATTATTTTGAGCAAGGAAATATTGCTTGCACAAAAACTAATAAAATGAACAGGATGAACCTAAAACTTATTCATATGGTGTAGATGTGCTGGCTCATGTCTGTAACCCAGCAGGCAGGACAGTGTTTCTTGCGTTTGAAGCCAGCCTAGGTGATACAGAGATATCTATGGGTATCTTAGTCACTATCTCCATAAAGGGGAGGGGACTAAAGGAAGGAGTAGTGACCATATTAAGAGATAATTTTCAAAGGTTACTCTAGTCATCTCATATCCTGTTGTTCAAATTCCCTACCAAGGAGCAATGAAGGGACACATATGCTCCTTATAATTATATTCTATACATACATCAAATCCCAGCAAACACCAGGCAATGGAAGCGCACGTCTTTAATCCCAGCACTCAGGAGGCAGGTGGGTAGGTCCCTGTGAGTTCAAGGCCAGCCTGGTCTACAGAGTGAGTTCCAGGACAGGCTCCAAAGCTACGCAAAGAAACCCTGTCTCAAAAAACCAAAAAAAATACTAAAATACATTTCCCTCCAAAAATAAAATCCTTTAACAATGCCTTCTGAACATCATTTACTTCCTGCATAAACACTGCAAATCTGGATTTTAAAAATGATTAACTTTTTAACTACTTATAGTTAAAATTCAAGCTACTTAAAATTGGTGCTCTACTCCTCTCTTGCTATATCTCCTCTCCTTTTCTCTTCTTGCGCCCGCGCCGCCGCCCCCCCCCCCCCCCCCCCCCCCCCCCCCCCCGGGTCTCTCTACATAGCTCTGACTGCCCTAATACTTGACCAATCTAAAAACTTGCTATATCTAGGCAAGATTCTCCCAGTTAAAACCAGTTACTTCAAAGTACAATACCTACATGAAGATACTTCCCAAGTTGACAAATGAAAACCAATCAACCCAGGAAGTCCCCAAGTATCCAAAGCAGACCTTTTCTCTGAAATCATAGCAGTGCCATACTACATACTATATGAAGTGCATGGAGTAGTAATTCAAGTTACTTCTATAACAAGATGAAATCTGCTTTTTAGCAAAATCTGACAAGACAGAAATTTCAACTGTCAAGAGAATTCATTTTCCATGATTCTAGGAAACAGTGCTTACTATAAAACAGTCTCAAAGCAGTTTGCTTAATTCTTCCAAATAACACACTATCTCTCTCTCTCTCTCTCTCTCTCTCTCACACACACACACACACACACACACACACACACAGAGCTACAGAACACTAAAGGAAACAAGACACTGAAATGTCTGTGCTCAAACTCCTAAAGGTTAGTTCCCATATATCTGGCAGGTTGATGATGGCCTTTATGTCCACCCAACTCTAGAGGTATCTTCCCTCATTAAAGCTAACATCACATATACCATCAAAGCAAGCCAAAATACCAAAGAACCAAAAGTCTCAAGCTAAAGTCTACTTTACTTGGGGGAAAAAAAGCTGACAATCTAACATCAGTTATTAACATTTTAAAGGTTAGAATCCAAAGGCTCCATTTCTGCCACTTTTAGAAGCTAGATGTACATTTTTGTCAGCCTAAAGTATGGGACTCAGGTGTTACATCATCCAATACCTGAATACTATCCCATTAACCAGGAAGCATCAACATATCCCTTCCTCTCTCAGTGCTCTTGATGCTACTGACCTCTGGGATCTGCTCTCTTGCAGCTCCACAAAGACATCTGCCATGCATCTGCTGCTATCCCATTTACTTTACCTCATGATGCTGTATAGCTGTCTGTATGTCTACTCATCAGTCAACAAAGCCAATCAAATACACACCACATACATCCCAACTTGACAGCAGGCATTCAGTTCTCCCTTAGTCCTTCCCATTCACTGTTCTGGAACTAAAAATCAGGTTTCATCATCTCTGTGATCCTAAAAGAATGAACTGTAAGATATGGTACACAATTGAATGTCCTCTATTTTCTGTTAATATCGGACTAGGATCCACATCCTCTGTCCACTGTCACAAATGTCTAGTCCCTCTAAGTCTCAAAGTAATCCTCTCTAGTTTTTTTCCTCCTACTCAACTTCTGCACTCTACCTTTTATTATCTCAGTGACCTAATAATCTTTGATCCTCTAATGTCTTAAAACTGTAAATATTCCAATCTTTCCTCACACTTCTACACCTGAAATCTTCCAAACTCTTAGGTAACCTACTTCTGAACGCTCTCCAACAGTCATTTCCTGCCTTAAACAAGAGCATCCTACTTCCCTCACCACATCAACCCCATACAGCTGTCCCTTTCTAGTCAGACATGCATCCACACATCCCTACCAGGCCCTTCCTTCAGTATATGTTCTACTACAAAATACCCTTTCTTCCGCCGTTCTTCTCACTATCCCCTGCCTACTCCCTTCCCTTCTCCCTCTCCATCGCACTCCAGACCTATCCCACCTTCTACTGATTTCCCTTCAAACACACCCCCTTCCATCTTCCTCCTCCTCCCCAACTTCTCTCCATACCTCCTGCCCTGGGAATATTTCCTTCCATATGTCCCTACACCTCACCTACAACTCCATAAACAGCCCCCCCTTCCCTTATGCCCCACACACCTGTCCCTTTCCACGGTGCCAACCTCAAGGTTCCTCTTCTGCTGTTGCCCACCAGTGTTTCTCACACAAACACCCTCCATTTCACTTCTGCTACTACACACACCTCCTGTCTGGACACCTCTTTCCATCCAATCACCTAACCATTTCTCTCCGAAACCCCTCAAACTCAGTCCCTGTGCCAATCACCCCTCCCCCCATTAGCCCCAACCTCCTCTCCCATGAGTACCGGACAAACATCTGCCTTTCTCCTCTAGCTTGTCAATCCCCTCCGTCTCCCTCCATTCCTCTGGGTCAGACACCCATCAAGGGACTCCTGGAGCCCTGGGCACACACAGACTGTAGACAGACAGACAGACACAGACAGACAGACACACACACACACACACACCCCTCCTACCTGAACATTCTCAATTTCATCCACCACTTGAGAGAACCTCCTCCCCAGACACTCCTTGCCCGCCACACTCCCCGCTATGGACCCCTCCGCCATTTCCCTTCAGGCGGTCCGGTGGCCTTCCCACTCTCTGCCCGGTTCCCTGCCCCTTACATGCAGCCCTAACCCGGGCATCTGCTCCTTCCATTTCAGCCTAGAGGTGCCCATCTTCTCCCTCCCTCCACCATCTCACTTGCCCCTGCCCGCCCCAAATCCCCCTTCACACACGTCTGAAGCCCCAAACGGAACGTCCTCCTTTCCTCTCAAATCCAACCTAGGCCCCCAAGGGCCCCCAGGCCTGCCCTTGAGGCCCTGGTCACCGTGGGGCCGGGTCCCTCAACCCTCCCTCCTCCCTAAATCTGCCCACACCCTGTGCCCGCCCCCCGAGCCTCTCCCCGATTCCTGCCCGCAACGTCCTCCAGCACCTGCCCTGAGCCCAGAGCCCTCCCACCTTCCCCGAGCTCGCGCCCCGCACGCTGCCCACGCCCTCGGGAGACTCGGGGCCGGAACTCGCGACCCCCGACCCCGAAAGCAAGCAGGGCGGCCGCAGTCCTGACACGGACCGGCCAGGCACCGCAGCGGCGGCCACAATGCCCAAGCCGCGGGGCCAGGATTGCGCCGCGCTCCTCGCCTCGGCAGCCGTCGCCGCCGCTGCTAAGGACGCACAACAAACAATGCGGGGCCCGGGCCGGCTCCGCCAACCGCCTCAACCGCCGCCTCAACCGCCGCCCGCCCGGGACGGCCCGCCGCGCAGGCGCCGGCCCCGCCGCAGCCTACCCGCGCCGCCGCGCTCCGCCCGCGTCCGTTCCCCGCTCCCGCTCCGCCGCCGCCGCCACCTCGTCTGCCCGCGTCTCCGGCTCCTCAGCACAGCGGCGGCGGCTGCGGCGGCTGCTGCCCTGGTGGCGCTCGCGGATCCGAGATCGGCTTCGGCGGCGACCGCGGCGGCGGCGGCGACCACGTGACGACGCCGAGCACGCCCATTGGCCGAGCGGGGGGGGAGGGCCCGCGGCTGCTGGGGAACGGAAAGCCCGCCCCCTCGCCCTCCGCGCGCCCCCTGCACGCGCGCTCTGCCGCACCTGAGAGCTCCGGCCAGCGCCCGCCGCCGCCGCGCCGCCGCCTGCGCCAACTGCGCACCTGGGAACGCGCAGGGCGCTCAGACCCGCGGCCGCCGCCTGCACCTGCGAGACCGCTTACGTAAACTGCGTCCCGCCCACCTCGCGGCGCCTGGTTCGGGCGGCGGCGCCGCACCTGAGCCCCGCTGCGCCCGCAACGTAAGCGCTGCTGAGCGGAGGCCAGCTGCTGGAAAGAGGAAAGGCGCGGAAACTTCGTAACTGCGGAATCTGAGAGCAGCTCCCGGCCGCAACAACGAGCCCGTCTTCCCAGGCTCCACGCCCCGGTGCGGGACGCTGCCCCAGCCTCAGCCTCTACGCAAACGGAGTAAGCGCCGCAATGCCTCCCCGGGTGGAGGAGGGGCAGGCTGTACCCTGACTGAGTAAAAGACTCGAATCCGTCCTGGGCTCCTCTCCCACTTGGTGGTTGTATGACCTTGGCCAAGTTACAGAACCGCTCTGAGCCTCAGTTTCCACTTCACAGAAACTAAAACAATAATTCCAATTTAAGAGCCGTTGAGCAGATGGCATAAAACAATAGATATGAATTTTCCTGGCACATAGCAAGCACAGAACAGAAATCAAAATCGCCTCTCCTCTATCCTTAACGGCCTGGGAAATGTTTTCCCTCCTTAGGGTTATGGCAGACTAGCTGAAAACCTCCCCACTTTGTTTCAGCAGTGGTACTGGATTCAACTATTGGCTGGCATCTTCTTGGTGGCTAGCATTCTGCCAGCCAGATCAGCCCCTACTGTGTATGTGCTGCGTGCTCTGTACTGTGCAGGGAGCTAGAATGCCCTGGAGAATGAGCCAAGGTCTTTAGCCTAAAGCAAATTCCTGACAAAGAACCTGACCACTTAATGCAAGAAGACAGCAGGGGACTAACCTCCCACGCCAGTACCCCTGATGGTACTCTTCTCATCTTGTTACAGTTCTAGACACAAATATTAACAGATACTCAGTGATAGGACATGTTTGCCTGGCACGGACAGGATCCAGGGTTGCATTCACAGCACCGTCAAAAAATATAACCGCTGTGCTTCATTCACAGAACAATGTGTCAATACTTAGTTGAAAAGCTTAGCAGTATGGCCTTCAACTTCAGGGCATACACACTTCCCTCTGCCCCTCCTTTGGGCCAACTTGATCCTTCGGTAACTACAAAACTGTCCTTTCCAGAGTAAGCGCAGGCCTGTAACAACCTCTGAGCTTCCTTAAGTCTGTATGAGGCCACAGACCACTATGTATGATTCTGGAAAGCAGGTTGTTCAATCAGCTCAAAACATACTCCCTCTGGAGCTCCTTGGCTGCCCAGCTTGCACATCACCCTGTTCAACAATGCATTGTTAGGTCACTGAACGATAGTCTTCCCTGGATCGTAAGCACCTTGAGGAAAGTTCACCCCTCTGTCTGAGTAAGTTGAGGAAGAACACATGCACAGAGGATGAGCTCTTTAAAGCTGGGTTTTGCAGTATGAAAGGAAGTCTGCCAAGGGAGAAGAAATGCTGCAGTGTAAAGATCCAGGGTCACTGCACACTAGCTGCGTGACCTTGGCAAATCTAGGTCTTAGTGCTCCCCTCTGTCAATCACACATGATTCCGCACACCTCGGAACGATGTCACAAAGAGTCAATGAGACTACATTTGAGGTATTTGGCCCTTAGAAATCCAACACTTAGAAATTGCATTACTTTTTTTAAAATAGGAAGAGTATATGGCATTAAGGATTCAGTAGTATCTCTCATTTTGATTTTTTTTTTTTTTTTTTTTTTTTTTTAAAAAACCCATTTATTTGTTATGTATACAGTGTTCTGCCTGCATGTCAGAAGAGGGCACCAGATCTCATTACAGACGGTTGTGAGCCACCATGTGGTTGCTGGGAATTGAACTCAGGACCTCTGGAAGAGCAGTCAGTGCTCTTAACCTCTGAGCCATCTCTCCAGCCCTCATTTTGATTTTTATTGGGCTTATAACTCCAAACATTCATAACAAAAATGAGCAAATGAGACCAGGCTAGACGGCTCAGCAGGTAAAAGTGTCTGCTGCCCAGCCTGTAACCCTGAGTTAAATCCCAGAAACTACATGGTATAAGAAAAGAAGCCCACAAGTTATCCTCTAACCTACTTCCACAGAAATGCTGGCCACGTGTGCCTACACTAGTACATGACAGCACAAAAATAAAAAATAAAAATGTAAAAAATAAAGCAAGCAAGCAGGGCAGTGGTGGTACACGCCTTTGATCTCAGCACTCAGGAGGCAGAGACAGGTAGATCTCTGTGAGTTTGAGGCCAGCCTCGTCTACAGAGAAAGTTCCAGCACAGCCAGAGCTGTTACACTGTGAAACCCTGTCTCAAAATAAATAAATAGCTTTAAAAAACAAGCAACTGGCAAAAGGTAAGGAGAGCATAAAAGTATGAATGTGGGGCTGGAAAGATGGCTCAGCTGTTAAGAGCACTGGCTACTCTTCCAGAAGACCTGGGTTCAATCCCCAGCGCCCAGCTGGCAGCTCACAGCTGTCTGTACTCCTGTTCCAGTTGCCCTCATACAGACATACCTGCAGGCAAAACACCTATGTACACAAAATAAAAATAATTTATTTTTTAAAAAGAACTTTAAAAAGTTCCCATGTAAAAGATATCATCCTCTATCCCTGACTTCACCCCATCAATACTTGCAGAGAAAATTCTGTCGTGTCTCACATTACACGTCCAGACAAAGATTTAAGTTGTAGCAGGTGTGGTGCTGCCCACTTGGGATCCTAACATTTGGAAGGCCAACAAGGAAGGATCAGAAACTCAAAGTGTGAAACACTGTGAAACTCTGTCTTGAGAAGCCAAAAATAAGGGGGTGAAGTGTGGCTCAGCTGTAGAAAGCTTGCGTAGCATGCACCAAGTCCTGGGTTCCATCCCCAGAACTACATAAATTAAGCCTATAATATTAGCAAATGGCAGGAAGAGGCAGGAGGATCAGGATTTCAACATCAGCCTCAGGTATAGAGCAAGATCAAGAAACTGAAGCCAGCTGAGACCTGGGTTTTTGTTCTTGTTCTTTTTATTATTATTATTATTATTATTATTATTATTATTATTACTATTATTATTATTATTATTATTATTATTATTATTATTATTTATACAGAAGAGGGTGCCAGATCTCATTACAGATGGTTGTGAGCCACCATGTGGTTGCTGGGAATTGAACTCAGAACCTCTGGAAGAGCAGTTAGTGCTCTTAACCTCTGAGCCATCTCTCCAGCCCTCTTGATTTTGTTCTTATTTTGTTGGGTTTTATGGTGTTTTTTTTTTTTTTTTTTTTAAGGAAAGAAGGAAAAAGAAAATTACAAACAACTCATGTATCTATAATCTGTATCTTAGATTTGCATAGAAAAAACATCAGAGCCGGGCGGTGGTGGCGCATGCCTTTAATCCCATCACTTGGGAGGCAGAGCCAGGCGGATCTCTGTGAGTTCGAGGCCAGCCTGGTCTCCAAAGCGAGTTCCAGGAAAGGCGCAAAACTACACAGAGAAACCCTGTCTCAAAAAAAAATAATAAAATAAATAAATAAAAAAAAGAAAAAAGGCCGGGCAGTGGTGGCGCACGCCTTTAATCCCAGCACTCGGGAGGCAGAGCCAGGCGGATCTCTGTGAGTTCGAGGCCAGCCTGGACTACCAAGTGAGTTCCAGGAAAGGCGCAAAGCTACACAGAGAAACCCTGTCTCGAAAAACCAAAAAAAAAAAAAAAAAGAAAGAAAAAAGAAAAAACATCAGAAAGTTATTAAACATCAATCACTTCTGGGTTTGCCTGGAAAATAGAATTGGATGTGAGAGTAGAGGACTTTACTTCCACATTGCTTGAATTTTTAAGTATACATTTTTAAATTACACGTATGTATGTATATATATATATCTATATCTATAGATATATAGATATATATGACTACGTGTGGATATGTGCACATGAGTGGAGGTACCATAAAGACCAGACATGTCAGATCCCTTGCAGTTGGAATTATAAGCAGTTATGAGCCACCCAATGTGGGTGCTGGAAACCAAACTCAAGTCCTCTGCAAGAGCAGAACCTGCTCTTAACCACTGAGCATCTCTTTAGGCCCTGCTTTAAACTTTTGAAGAATACAAACACATATGTAATCCTTTATTAGTTTAAAGAATATCTGCACATCATAAAAACATGCATTTCAACCATAATTCTTTATTATTACTTTGAGGGTGGCTAGGGGGTAGTTGTTTTTTATTTTGGTTTGATTTCATTGTTTGAGACAAAGTCTCATTATATAACCCAGGCTGACCTTGATCTGAAGATCCTCCTGTCTCAGGCTCCCAAATGCTGAGGTTACAGGTATGAGCCACAACTACTGGCTTAACATAAGTCAGTTTCCAAATACTTGGGATATTTTTATGGATTCTCATAAATTCCTTCTGTCTCCTTCCCTATTCCCAGTCACTAGTCTATTTTCTGTCTCATATATACATTTATGTGTGATACAATTTTTTCCCTGTGGTACCAGGAATTGAACTCAGAGCCTCATTCATACTAGGTAAGCATAATGAAATCAGGGCTGGAGATGTAGCTCAGTTGGTACAGTGCTTGTCTAGAATACATGAAGCCCCCAGCTCCATCTCAGTGCTACATAAACTAGCAGTGACAGTACATGCCTGTAATCCCAGGACTTGGAAGTCAGAGCAGAGGAATGAGAAGTTCAAGATCATCCTCAGTTATATAAAGAGTTCAAAACTAGTCTGGGCTAATAAGACACTGTCTCAGAAAGTGAAACAAAGAAATCCACTATTTATGAAAAAATAGCAAAAGCATTACCTGCTTACCCCATCCAGTGGTAATGGTCACTGTTAATATAACCATTCACTAAATTGGTCCAATCTTTTTCTGTGCATATAAATATATATTGTTGTTGCTTGAGTTAGGTTTTCACTCTGTAGCACAGGCTGGCCTCAAACTCATGGGTAATCTTCATGCCTCAGACTCCCAAGTGCATGAGCTACCATATCTAGCTTAATATATATCTTTTACAAAGTAAGATTATTGTATACTGTCTGAATTGACATTTTTCATTTAGTACAAAGTGAATACACCGTTTTTATTGTTTTTTGGGGCTTTGGGAGTTTGGTTTTGTTTGTTTGTTTGTTTGTTTGTTTGTTTGTTTCAAGACAGGGTTTCTCTGTGTAGCTTTGGAGCCTATCCTGGAACTGTCTCTGTAGAACAGGCTGGCCTCGAACTCACGAACTCACAGAGATCTGCCTGTCTCTGCCTCCTGAGTGCTGGGATTAAAGGCGTGCGCCACCACTGCCCAGCTTTTTTATTGTTTTGTTGTTGTTGTTGTTTGTTTGTTTGTTTTCGAATCTCTGCGTAGTAGAGTGAGAGTAGATCCTGTCCTGGATCTCACTCTGTAGACCAGGCTGGCCTCGAACTCAGAGATCTGCCTGCCTCTGCCTCCGGAATGCTGGGATTAAAGGAATGTGCCACCACAGCCTGACTTTTTATTGTTTTTAATACAGAGTCTCACTATGTAATTCTAGCTGGCCTGAACTCACAGAGAACCACCTGCATCTGCCTCCAAGTGCTGGGATGAGGGGCAGGTACTGCCACATCTGGCTGAATACATCTTTTTGTTTGTATGCTCTTCTTGTATTTTTCTGCATAATATTGTACTTTTTTTTCCTTTCTTTCTATTTTGTTTTTTTGTTTTTGTTTGTTTGTTTGTTTGTTTTTGGTTTTTCAAGACAGAGTTTCTCTGCGTAGCCCTGGCTATCCTGGAACACTCTCTGTAGACCAGACTAGCATCAAACTCAGACATCCACCTGCCTCTGCCTCCCAAGTACTGGGATCAAAGGTATGCGCCACCACCAACCGGCTATAATGTTGTATTTTATGCATCATTTAATCAAACTACACTCCCTATAATGGGTATTACATACTTCCCAGTATTTCCATTATTATAAACAGTGGGGAGATAGTTGACATAGTAACATCTTAAAGCTTAGCCTATTTAGAAATCACATCTAACTTCAAAGGCCAGCATTGCCTGTTTCAGCCATTCTTAGTACAAACATTAACTGAGATCTTATATGTGGAAGTCCCTAGAGATTTAAAAAAGAAAGAAAAAAAGAAAACAGTTATGCTGTCCCAGTCCTCATTGATCTGACATAAATAAATAAATAAATAAATAAATAAATAAATAAATAAATAAATAAATAAAAATAAATGGATGTATTTTTGAAAGGAGAAGTGGTCAGTGTTCTTGGTCCAAAAGACACTGAAAGATGACACTGTGGCCAACGGAAGAAATATCCAGAGCAGTGCTGTCCATACAGTAGATGTGGCCATTTAAATTTAATGTATTTAAAAGTAAATATAATGTGGGGCAGGGGGATATACCTCAGTGGGTAGAGTGCTTGCATCACATACAATGAAAGCTCTGGGTTCAGTCTCCAGCACTGCATAAAGTCAAACAGTGTAGCCTATGCCTATAATCCCAGAACTTGGGGGATGGAGGCAGAAGGATCAAAAGTTCAAAGTCATCCTTGGTTATATAGCAAGTTCCAGGCCAGCCTGGGCTACATGAGACCCTGTCAAAAAAAAAGAGAGAGAGATAAAATTTAAAATAGAGAAACATTAGACACAGTTAAAGTTCTCCAGATCAGTCAGCACTGATCAAGAGCTCAATAACAACAAAGCAATAACAGTAACAGTCATACCTCACTTCCAAGCCCGTGTCTTGGCATCCCAAGTTGGTCTGGCCATCTCTCTTCTTCTTCCCCCACCACTCTGTCTTCCTTCTCTTCTTTTACAAAATCAGATACTGAACAACAGCCCGGTCTCTCTCTGGTGTCTGGTTGCCCCCCTTTCCTACTCCCTAAGGAACATCACTCCATAGCTTGTCCTTCTTTAATGTGGCCAGTCACTCTCTACTGGAAATTTTCCATTATTAAACAGTCCCTTCTATTGTTTTTGTTTGTTTGTTTGGTTGGTTTTCTGTTTTGTTTTGTTTTTTAATGAAACAAGATCTCCAGTCCGTTCATGTGCATGCTACAGCTTGAGAAGCACTGGCCCAAATGCAGCAAGGACAGACCAATCAAATGGAGCCTCCAATTCCGAGGTAGGATTGCTGTTGCTGACAAGATTCTCCAAAATGGTAAATAACCCTTGGTACAGTCCAGAAAAAAAAAAAAAAAAGAGGGTATAATCTTCATTCACTTTGCATAGCATTTGCCTCCCTGGAATAGTAAATCATGCTGGAATGGACTTTGTTCATTTGAAAACTGGAGTGAGCTGTCACTCTTAGATAATTACATAGTAAACTTTCCCCTACATAAGTATTCAAAAGTCATGCCGTGTTATGCACACACTGTACGACATCAAGCATCTTTGGTTTCCTCCTATCACAATAAATGTTGCTGTACTACCCAGATTCAGCACAATATCTAGAAGCTACCCCCAAGAATCCAGAACTACAAGTTATCATTCAGTGGCTACCTGTGACCTATTTGGATGTCTGCTATGCTTCTGTCAATTGTTCCTAACTGCTGAATCTTTCTCCTAAATCTAAACCCAAGTCAGTTTGTAGAACTTGTAGAAGTTACATTAGCCACTGATCTTGAATAAGCCATAGACAGTAGGCCCTATGTGGACAGAATTTATTGTTTTCTCTTCTCTTCACATTCCCTTAGAGAAGTGTCCTGCATTATTCATATATTATCTGTCGGGTGAATGGGTTACAAAAATTCCCATTACTTTTATTTTTATTTATTTATTTTTTTCAAGACAGGATCTTTCTGTGTAACCCTGGCTATCCTGGAACTCCCTCTGTAGACCAGGCTAGCCTCAAACTTAGAAATATGCCTGCCTCTGCCTTCCAAGTGCTGGGATTAAAGGCGTGTGCCACCACACCTGTCTGCATGCCCTTTCTTGGATGACAAATCTCAAACTGATTTCAGGAGAGAAGAATCTACAAGAATAAACCAGGGACTTGGGATGAGGAAGCCTCTAGTTCTTCCAGAATTTGTTCTAACATCTGGATACATCTATTAGAGCCGGGCATGGTGGTGCACACCTGTAATCCAAGCCCTTGGGAGATTGAGGCAGGAGGATTGCCACAAATTCAAAGGTAGCCTGGGCTACATACTGAGTTCAAGGTGAGCCTAAGATAAATCCCCAGATCCCCTGTAAAGTATTTCTAGAATTCAATTTTCAGTCTTCATTTTGGACCCAAGTGATTATCTAAACTCTAGATTCTAGAGTGACAGTTTAATGTTAAATAGTAAGTGAAAGGTTTACAACACGCCCCCACGGTCGGGCGTGTTCGCATATGCCCAACAGACACTTCCACCTAGCCAGTTCCAGGTCAGGATAGCCATTTCCGGGTCAGGGCATCTTGCGTGACCAAGATCCGTGACGTTCCACTGGCTACGTAGGCGCGCAACGTGGCCATGTGATCTACGCACTTGCGTGTAGTAGTGACGCTGATCTGTCCACGCCCAGCCTTTAAAATCCGGCGCCATGTTCCCGGTTCTTTCTTCTTCTTCTTCCTCCTTCTTCTCCACACACGTGTTTCCTGCAGGCCTGCTCACTCTCTGTCCCTTTACCTTTAATAAAACTCTTGTTAGCGGATTCTGTCGTGTTTCGTGGCATTTCCTTGCAGGGTAAGAACACAACGCAGCAAAAAATCTAACATTTTGGTGCCGAAACCGAGCGGGCACTTCCGGGCACCCTGCGCCTGGAAACCCGTAAACCGGGGACTGCAACACTCTGCTCCGTACGCGACAGACCGCTCTCCATTTCGCCTGACCGCAGAAATTCCATGCAACACCGCTTTCTCCGATTGGTGAGTCCCCCCATTTTTCGGCCAGTGTAAACGGTTTCCTGAATCTGTGAGAACAACCGGTACCTCACAAGTATTCTTGAGACCAGGGGAACCCCCGGCCACGGTCTTCATTGGCTACGGTCGGCCCCTATCGCAGGCCTCAGATTTCTAGCCCTCTCCCACGTCTGCAGCCTGAGATATTTCTCGCGTTGGGACCACCGCCGTTGGGTGCGTCCTGGGGGCCACGTGGGGCCGACACGTTCATCCGACTTGACGAAGTGGCAGACGCTGTCTGGATTCCCGGGGAATCCTTTCCTCACGTGGCAGGGGCCCCCGCTTCTGTGGCTGACGAGCCAAGGAGCGGCTTGTGCCCGGGATCCGTCCTTGGCCTTGGGGACGCCTGGGGCCTTGGCTCCGGATCACGTTTGTTTTTTTATCTTTTTTTTTTTTCTGCCTCTCTGCTGCAGACATGGGAAACAAGGCTTCCAACCCTGTTAGTCCTTCCTCTCCGTTAGGCTGTCTTGTTGAAGCTTTAAAACCTCTTAGTTTAATGCCTTACATAAAGATTCCTAAGCTAACTCGTCTATGTTCTAAAAAATGGCCAAAGTATGCTTTAGAAAACAACAAAAATGGCCGCCGAGCGGCTCCTTAGATCCCGATATTTTACGGGAGTTATCTAATTACTGTCAGCGCTCAGGCAGATGGCAAGAGTTGCCCTATGTTATAGCATTTTTCTTTCTCAGTGCTAAACCGTCTCTTCTGAATTCCTTCTCTCCTGCTCATATGCTCCTGGCTATGCCTGAACCGGAGGATTTTCTGACTCCGGAATCTCTGACTCTAGATCCTGCTAACGAACCTCCACCTATTCGACCTCCAGCTCCAACTCCTAGAAAACCGTTCCTTCCGCTCCCCTTCCAGATTATTCTTCTTCTAAAGCTGCTCCTTCCTCGGCAGCGGCCGGTTCCAAAGGCCCTGTCCTAGCTCCAAACTTCACTCCTCCTACCACCCGCTCTCGGGCTGCTAAATTGCCAGATTCCAGCCATCCAAAACCTTCCACTGTTCTCCCTTTGCGAGAGGTGGCTGGTGTGGATGGACTGATTAAAGTTCATGTTCCATTCTCTCTAGCAGAACTCTCTCAGATAGAAAGTAAGCTGGGTTCTTATACTTTTAATTCTGCTGCCTTTATTAAACAGTTTCAATATATAACTCAATCTTATAGTCTTACCTTTCATGATATATTCATGATACTTTCTAATAACTTACTTCCTGAGGAGCGCAGGCGGGTTTGGGAGCAGGCTAGGATTCATGCAGACGAAATTCATCAAACTAACCTTTCACACCCTCCAGGAGCTGAGGCGGTTCCTGACCGAGAGCCACACTGGGATTATAACACCCAGGGTGGCTGTCTAGCCAGAGATAGGTTTATTATCTGTCTCCTGACAGGTCTCCGTAAGGCTGCCCTAAAACCAGTAAACTATGAAAAACTAAAAATGGTTAATCAAGATAAGGACGAAAATCCGTCTCATTTCCTAGAGCAGCTCACCAAGGCTCTACTTCAGTTCACTAGCTTAGACCTGGAGAGCCCTGAGGGCAGGCAGCTGCTAATAACCCAGTTTGTCTCACAGAGCTTCCCTAACATTAGGGATAAACTTAAACATTTGGAGAGCGGCCCTCTAACTCCACAGGCAGATGTGCTGGTGATAGTGTTTAAGGTGTTCCATGGTAGAGATGAAAAAGCCCATAAAAGGAGCTGCCAGATGCTGGCAAGCACTGCCCGACCGGCTCCCCGAAAGCCATCTGGTCCCTGCTTCAAGTGTGGGAGAGAAGGCCATTGGGCCCAGGCTTGCACCACCGGCCCATGAAGGGCACCGACAAAGCCTTGTCCAAAGTGTTGCCAAAAGGGTCACTGGTCAGCTGACTGTCCTAATGTCCCAAGCGACATAGGAACGCCAGATGAAGACCACCCTCCAGCTGACTTTGTAGGCTTGGCTTACAGCGAGGACTGCTGCTGCCTGGTTTCTGCCCCGGCCACTCCCATCTCACACAGGGAACCTAGGGTAATTATAAAGGTCAATGGGCGGCCCCATCTCGTTCCTTTTGGACACCGGAGCTACCTACTCTGTCCTGAGAGTTTTGGAGGCCCACCTCTCCTGCTCGTCTCCCTATTGTCGGGGTTGGGGACAGCCTTATCTACCTCATCAGACACCACCACTCAATTGCATTTTCAGAGGCATCCCTCTCACACACACATTCTTAGTGGTGCCAAGCTGCCCTGTACCTTTAATGGGGAGGGATCTTCTAGCTAAGGTAGGAGCGTCCATTTCTTTCGCTCCACACATTCGCCTCATCCCAGACATGCCAGCAGCTCCTTTACTTCTCCTCCTAGCCACTCACTCTTCTGACTCTAACAATTCCTTTCCCCTACCAGTCTCTCAGGTAGACACAGTCTCTCAGGTAGACACACAGAGCCGGAGGCAAAAAGGACCATCAAAAATATCCAGGCGGTAAGGAATAATGTAATACAATAATCTATCATTGTTCGATACTCAGCAACTGATCACCTGCGTTTCCTAAATGCTAACCTAATAAGGGAAACCGGTGCCTTAAATAAACTACCTCTAATAAGGCTTGTCTCAGATAAAAATTAAGCAGAGTACTAAGGCCAGATCTACCTCAGGTAAATACCACATGTCTCTATCTGGACAGGCCAGATCTACCTCAGACAAATGCCAACTCCAAAATAAAATAATAATGATTCTTTCTCTCTAAGCCTTTTCTATGTCAACAGTATCTTGTCAAACAGAAGGTTCCCAGCCACAGCACGGATGGACAGCCGCAGAACGAGGGGACGGCAGAACTTCATTCCAGGACCTGCCCACCAACATCCCAGGACTTCACAAGATACCCTCTCATCCCCCTGCCCCCCCAAGAGCCAACCAACGCCCACTATTCAGCTGGAAGCAGTCTTTGAGAGAAACGTCGCCCCCATACCCAGCCAACCACAATTTTTTTCTTTTTTAAAAAAGGAAGAGTCAGGGATGAAAGGTTTACAACACGCCCCCACGGTCGGGCGTGTTCGCATATGCCCAACAGACACTTCCACCTAGCCAGTTCCAGGTCAGGATAGCCATTTCCGGGTCAGGGCATCTTGCGTGACCAAGATCCGTGACGTTCCACTGGCTACGTAGGCGCGCAACGTGGCCATGTGATCTACGCACTTGCGTGTAGTAGTGACGCTGATCTGTCCACGCCCAGCCTTTAAAATCCGGCGCCATGTTCCCGGTTCTTTCTTCTTCTTCTTCCTCCTTCTTCTCCACACACGTGTTTCCTGCAGGCCTGCTCACTCTCTGTCCCTTTACCTTTAATAAAACTCTTGTTAGCGGATTCTGTCGTGTTTCGTGGCATTTCCTTGCAGGGTAAGAACACAACGCAGCAAAAAATCTAACAGTAAGTCTTGGCTGGGCAGTGGTGGCCTTTAATCCCAGCACTGGGGAGGCAGAGGCAGATGAATCTCTATGAGTTCAAGGCCAGCCAGGTCTACAAAGTGAGTTCCAAGACAATACCCAAAAGCTACACAGAGAAACCCTGACTCGAAAAACAAAACAAAACAAAAATAATAATAATAAAATAATTTTTTTAAAAAAGCGAGTCTTATCTGGCTATGATTCTGTCCCTCATTCCCTTCATTTTTTCTTTTCTTTTCTTTCTTTATCTTTTTTAAAAAGTCTCACTGTGTAGCCCTGGCTAGCCTGGACTCCCTATGTAGACCAGACTGGCATCAAACTCACAGAGATCCATTTTCCTCTGCCTCCTGAATAGTGGGACTAGGGGCATGTGCACTATATCCAGCATCTCCCCTTCCAGTATTGTCTAGATATCATTGGTTATAACACTTTGCACTTAATAGGTAAGAGCCAGCAAAGCTGCTAACCCTTGTAGAAGAGCACAGTGGAATCTTCTGGACTGAAATGCAAATAGTCAGACTTTAAAAGGGTTCCTGAGGAATGATGGATTTCTGGGCCCATTTCCTGAGTGTCCCCTTGCATCTTACCTCAGTCCCATGACCACTCTGCAACAGTGTCCTCCCTTCAATAAGGACTTCTACAAAAAAAGTGGTTGTGGGGTAGGAATGGGATGCAATGTAGAATCACAAAGAGAATATTTGCTTTCATTGTAAGCCAGCTGGATGTGTAACTAACCCCTGCTGGTTTTAACTGTATGTTAGAGTATTGCCAAGAGACTTGGTTTTTTGTGTGTGTTTTAATTAAAATCAGCCTATTAAGCATTAGTTTGTTTGTTTGTTTGTTTTAGGTGTTTTCGAGACTGTGTTTCTCTGTGTAGTTTTGGTGCCTGTCCTGGAACTCGATCTGTAGACCAGGCTGACCTCGAACTCACAGAGATCCACCTGGCTCTGCCTCCTGAGTGCTGGGATTAAAGGCGTGTGCCACCACCGCCCGGCTTTGTTTGTTTGTTTTAAGGGAAGTTTTTCTTTCTGTTGGGAAAACCCATAGTGTGGAAGAAAAAGAATTGGAAATGAGGTTTCTTTCAACGAAACATATAAGGTAGCTTTGACTTTGAAATCACATAAATGATTCATGCAAATATTTAAATCATTAAATCTTATAAATTTTAGATAATCACTAAGCCAAACACAGGCCCAAATATGAACATAACATTATGTGAGATTTGTAACATATCTACAAAGAAGAAGGTTCTACATGTCATTATACAGAACTGGACCATGCCCCTTTGGGAGCAACAGTTTATCCACCAACATATGCAGGAAATAACATAACCAAGCCTGAACCTGGGATGTACATTAGAAATCAAGGATGCACTCAAGAGCTGAACAAGGCCACTCTCAAAGGCATAAGGAATCAGTTTAAGGGAGCTGTCATCTGGCAAAGACCAGACAATGAGGTTATGATAAAGAATATAACACATAACAGAAGACTTTGACCAGGCTGTGGTGGTGCACACTTTTAATCCCAGCACTCAGGAGGCAGAGCCAGGCGGATCTCTGTGAGTTCGAGACCAGCCTGATCTACAAAGAGAGTTCCAGGACAGGCTCCGAAACCAAAAGTTACACAGAGAAACCCTGTCTCCAAAAACTAAAAAAAAAAAAAAAACTTTGAATATGGACGAAGCCAGAAGTTCATTGTTCTTAAATCAGTAATAAACAAACAAAACAGTTCACCGAACTGGGTGTTTTTAAGGCTCCAACTTGTTATGTAAAAGTTTATTATTGCATTTAAGGGTTTGGGGTGAATGGCTCAGTGCTAGAGTCCTTACCTAGCAAGCAACAAGAGCTGGATTTCATCCACACATTGCAAAAAACAGCTTGTGGGGGTAGGGAGCTTAAGTATTTATGGGAGAAGAATCCTAATAATAACAATGGTCTTTTATTCAATGCCCTATAGTTTACAGAGAGTTTTCCTGTACCTCATCCCATCACTGACTGTCTACAGATGTTCTTAGATTCTCTGAGAAACACAGCAGCCTCTTCATACAAACAAGGGCCGCAAGACTGGGCTTCTACACTGAGTGCCACTAAATAGGAAAGTTCTGTCTTGGAAATTTAACAAAACTGTAGAGTTTTGCTTTGCTTTGTTGGTTTATTGTGTGTCTGATCATGCAATATGAAGGTCAGAGGACAACTTTTTTGTGAGTCAGTTCTCTTTCAACCACGCGGATCCTGAAACTCAAACTCAGGTCATCAGGCTTGACAAGGAACACCTTTACCTACTGAGCCATTTTGCAAGTCCCTTAAAGTTTTCCTTTTAAAAGAAAAGAAAGTTAAGTTGTTTTGTTGCTGTTGTTGTTTTGTTTTGAAACAAAGTTTCTTTATGTAGTCCTGGCTATCCAGCTCTGTGGACCAGACTGGCCTCAAATTCACAGAGATCTGCCTGCCTCTGCCTCAGGAGTGCTGGGATTAAAGGCATGTGACACCACTGCCCGGCTAAAAATTACATTTTGAGGGGCTGGAAAATGACTCAGTGGTTAAGAGCACTTGGTGTGCATGCAAAGGACCTAGGTTCAGGTCCTGGAACCCACATGACAGCTCACAACTGTAATTCCAGTTCCAGGGAATCTAATGCTTTCTTTTGGCCTCTGTGCATTCATATCCACACTCAACATAGAAATAAAAACAAAATAAATGTGTGTGTGTGTGTGTGTGTGTGAGAGAGAGAGAGAGAGAGAGAGAGAGAGAGAGAGAGAGAGAGAGAGAGATTGAGAGAGAGAGAGAGAATGTGCTATGTTTTCAGTGAATACAGCTGAAATTGCATGACTTTTGCCTGACCCTTCCTGATATCTGGGGCTTCTCAAAGCAATAAATATGGAAAGTCATAAAAAAAACGAACCTAGGACTGACCCAGCATCTCTTTTATGCTCAGGTGGTCTAAGCAGTCACCAGCTGGCCTAGATTCAAAAACTCAAAAGGGGGACTGTAATGATACCCAGGCAGGAAGGAGACAAACCCCACAGACAGGCATAACAATTGAGATATGCTCTCTCTCTCTCTCTCTCTCTCTCTCTCTCTCTCTCTCTCTCTCTCACACACACACACACACACACACACACACACACACACACACACACACACACATATATATAACAGACTTTTTTAACATAAAAACAGGTTATAATTCAAAAGTCCAGGGTTATTTGAAACTGGAAAATATTTTCTCTGTAGAAAATAGTAAAAATGGTTGGGCAGTGGTGACATACAGCTTTAATCCCAGCACTCGAGAGGCAGAGCCAGGTGGATCTCTGTGAGTTCGAGGTCAGTCTGACCTATAGAGCGAGATCCAGAACAGGCACCAAAACAACACAGGGAAGCCCTATCTTGAAAAACCCGAAAAAAGAAAAAAAAATAGTAAAAATGATAACATTTCCCAATAAGCCCTTTTAAGCCAAATAATAGCTAAATTATACATATAAATATTTATCAAATTCTGGGATACAGAAGAAACCTATCTTCATCTGTTCAGAGAGCTAGAGACATGCTTTTTCTCCATGACTTAATACGTTTTTTCTCCAGAACAGGGTATGCTAGACAAGTGCTGAACCACTGAGCACTATGTACATCTCTCAAGCCCCTCCCTTTCTCTCCTTCTCCTCTGGCATTGTCTTGGTCTACCCCTGAGAAAGCATGCCCTCAGCTCCCCTCATTCTGATATTGGCTAATTGTTGTGCACTCCCTGGGAATTTTCCAGAAGACCAGATAGGCGAGATCAAACGAGCGACTCAGAAAGGTGAAGCCGCTCAATGACTCTCTGCAACATTTAAGGGAAAACACTGCCAGGGCCTCTGGTCCTGCCAACTCCTGGACACTATGCTCCTTTGCAAAGCTCACTTCTTCAAAACAGGTCACAGAAATTGCCCTTGCTGAGTTCCAACGAGTTTGAGTTTCTTTAAAAATAGCTCGTTCTTCAAGTGCAAAAAATAACATCTGAGACATTTGTTTAAGTGTGAAACACACCTTTGTCATGACTCAGTACATGCTGAACGTAAGTTTATTAAACCTTCCAAAAGGAAAAAAAAAAATCCTCTTGAACTAAGGAAGCCTGAGAGATGACAGCTTGGGAAACGGGAAGAAGGGACCAAGAAGAAAAGACACAGGTCCAGCAAATCTTCTCGTCTCTGAGGTGTTCGCATACTCTCCTTCCACCTCGGATAACCTTGTCCTCCAGAAAGCAGGGTGTGAACTGATCCTGCCTGGAGCCTGGCTCCAATGTCACTTCTGTGCAGCCTTCTCTGACTTCAGGCTCTTACTCATGTTCTCTCTCCTCAAAACACTCTGTATGCCACACAATTGTACTAAAATTGTCAGTTTACAGGTCTGCCTCCCAAACAGTCAGGGACACTAGGTGAGTCGTCTACGAACCCTTCTGCCTGGCACAGAGCAGGTGCTAGGGGAGCATGCTGATAAGAGCTGGCTCTCCATGCTTTAAGCCCAGAAGTGACTGCATTCACCTGAGCTTGGCCTCCATTTACAGACAATGGGAGCCCTGTTCCCACTGCTACCTACGGCGGGCTGCTACCCTGTCCCCTGAGTCCAGGCCCATAATTCCTGCAGTTATCCATCCTCATCCTGTATCATAGGTAATTTTATCTATCCTTTTTTCTTTTAGTATTTATTTATTAATTAAGAAGATTAAACCTAGGCAAGTACTCTACCACTAAGCTATATCTGTAATCCATAATTTTCTCTTTCTAGTAAATTATTTCTGCCAATGTACAAATACTCTCTTCTCCTTCCTTCCTTTTATTTTTTGAGACAGGGTCTCATGTATCCCAAACTGGCCTCCCTATCTCCTGAGTGCTGGGATTACAGGAGTATGCTGCCATGCCCAGTTTATGTAATATTGGATTAAACCCAA